GCACACTTTGCACACACCCAGAGGTGCAGCCACACCTGCAGCAGGGGACTGCCTGCATGTCAGAAATCTCAGAGCAGGCTTGCACAACACTGTGCGTGCACTTGTGCTGCCATTTAAAGTGCAGAAATCTACTCGGTCAACCCACCCTTCCCACTAAAGTGGCAGCTCTGGCTAGAAGACTGGAAACAAGCAGGATAAAAATGCAGGAAGGTAATTGCATCTAAAATAAGTTTTTTGAAACTATTTGTTCTTGCAAGAATCAGTAGGAGACCAATTTCTGCAGCTCTTCAGGGACTGAAACCTGCCTGTTCAGAGGTTATCAAAATGCACCTACAATATATCAGAATGATAAAACTGTACATGTATTTACTTGACTTTGTAGGACCGACTTTCAGTTTTATTTTAATGTTTTATTACATTAAAATGATTTTAATGTTATATTAATTTTTAAATGAACTTGCTTTTTCTTCTGCATCAGGTGAACAGGGTAAGTATTCTACCACCCAGCTGGGGAGGAATGGGAAAAGCTTTTTGCATTCCTGTTCCAAACATGTGATCAAACCAGGAATAGCATTACATCCTCATAATGTCAGTGTTTGTGTGCCAGTGCAAACATTTATGTGTTCTGAGCTGACTGGTTCTTGAAACTAGAAGTGCTGTGAAGAAGGCATTGGAGGGAAAAGGTCAAAATACAATAGAAAAAAAAAAAATCTTGTAACCCTGCATGACTAGGTAAATAGAATATATGCTTTATTTGAAGACAATACTGAGCTATAAACCATGCTATTAAAGGAGACATGTTTCACCTCAAGCCAGCGGAAGGAATAATTCTAGAAATCTCCCAAGATCATAGTCTGCCTGCCAAAATTTTCCTTGCCCCTTGAATATAAAAATCTTCACTGCCTATCTTTGATCATTAGAGAAGCTTAATGACTGTTATTCCAAGGTCCCAACTCATTCCAGTTGTAGCACTACCCTACTGGCTAGTGCTACAACATAAAACTACATGCAGCTGCAGTTCAAACAGCCATTCAAGACCTTTGCATATTAAGAGTCCTTGTTCAAAATTATAATTTATGTTGTTACCATAGGTTTTGTAAACCTATTTCTTCCAGAAGATTACAAAATTAGCAGTATTGCAACTCAAGACTGACTAATAGTTCATTACATGAATTGCCATTCAGTTTACTAACACAAAAATCTATCAGGATTGTATGGATTCACACTAGGAATTCTGTTCCAAAGCAAAATATAAGCATTATTTTCTTAGGAACCCCTGACATTTGTAATGCAAAAATGCACAATAGTGAACTGTTTGCACACAACACTGCCTAACAAAAACCAGGTATTTATGATCCTGACAACTTGACCACAGAGCAAGCACCTAATCAGAATATTCAACCCAATTCACCCATTTCTCTCTAACTAGCAGAGCCAACTGATAAAACGACTGAGACTCTTACTGACTTAGGAAATTGAAGTAAAGCTTGGATTAAGGATTGCAGTAATAGCTGGTTGCAAATGAGACCTGTAAACTCCAATAAACTCCAGTTTATTTCAGAATTAAAAAAAAAAAACAATAAATCAAACCCCATAATTCTTTTATTATAAGGCATTTCCAAATATAGATATAGCACGTTATACTTCCACCTGCTGGTCACCAAGCTGGACAATCATCTGGTATCATTTTAATAAGCGGAACAAAATCCTTCCAGGCAAGGTGTCATGAACCCGACAGTCCAATTTCCCATTGAAACTATTCTAAGACAATTTTCTTTTGTTAAAATTGTACTTTTTAAAAAAATGTAGATGTTTCCAAAGGAACATTTTCCACAATTTCTAACTATAATGTTACAATATGCCTCAGCAATGAGCAAGAGGAGGCTATACAGCCCTGAGAACAAAGCAGGCACTCAAATGTAACTTGCAGAGATTTCTAGCTGCCTTATTTTCTGAATTATGATCCACTGAGAAAGAAAAAAAGCTAAGAAATCCTTTTTACGTGGCACAACTTGTCTTTCCCAATGACTGAGCAACCTTTGAAAGAAGAAATGTAACTGGGCTTAAGATGGTCCTGTGCCTCCTCAGTGCACATACATAATAAGAATGGTAGTTCAACTATCAACAGCCCTACAAAATCACGTCTCTTTTTCCCATCTCTAACATGAACTTTCGGCCTCCTTAAAACATATTTTCTTTCACTTGCCACAGTCTGTGCCTGATTCAAATGCTCTTACTCCTTCTGGAAGCCTGCAGCATTGTTGATTTCCCCTAGATATGACCAACACAGTAAACAAGATGCACCTTGCTCCACTGGAGCTGTTTTTCCTTTCCAATACACTGCTCCAAGAGAAGCTTGATGCTTCTATGGTTTCATCTAATGACCAATATATTCTAGTTTTCATTTGACAGCAAGAAGAGTGAGACGGGGCTGTGGGAATTCAGAGAAAAATGTAAACATGGAAAAGTGAGGAAGTGAAGTGGGAGTGAAGGCAATCATGGGAAAGGTAGCAGTGTAGTGACTCAGGGTGAAGTGCTGGCAATACAGTCAGGGATGTGGGGGAAAGGATGATGGAATACCCAACAAGGAAGTGAATGAGGTAATCTAAATCTCTCCTCACCCTCTTGCTGCTCCCAAAACAGAAGCTAAAAAAGTAAAATAAATGCAGATGAATTTGGTAAAAGGCAAGTCTACAGTTTCTTCACTTTCCTTGCCATTCACTCCCCCACCCCACCATCGTTCATGCTTGAATGCAATACCCTTAAAATCAACAGGGCCTAGGTTTATGAGAGCACTGTCCTGAGCATCCGGCATTCTTCACTCCTTACAATAGGATTATTTGGAAAATGCCTACCCACCTTCCTGTAGATATATCAATGGCTTTTCCAGAAGCAGTAACTTTGCCTACAAATAGCTTGCTATTTTCTGGACACTGTGACACAGATCATGACAAATAACTCTCTGAGGCGTTTGTTCTTATATAACACAGACGAGTTTCTACTCTATACAATGGTTTGTGCATTAGCAATCTGGCAATCACTTTCCTCTACTGAATCTCATTATCATTTGGTTTTCTCTTCAAGTGTACCATCTCTAGTTTATTATACAAATTGACCAGGATAGGGGATATTTGCTAGGACACAAAAAAAATGTAACATTTGAGAATAATATGAAGCATCCTTTCATTAAGCCACCTGACAAATTTCAAGAAAACCTTCTTAGTACCCTTGCTACATGAAGTTAGATGATTGTCCTTCTTGTGTTTGAGTATGCGCCTTGATTAAACTAGAAACTTCCCACCCAAATTAGATGAACAACAAACAAGGTCAATTTTTTGCAGCAGGCTACAAGCAGAATTTGGAAAATACCAACAAGGTCCAAAGATGCAAACACAATGTGAACCCTTGTATTTAGGCATTAGGCTCTCAGGCAATCAGCTGTCTCCTGAGGCAATGCAGTGGGCAACACTTCCCATCTCACTTGAGTAATTACATCTTTTAGCATATTTTTTGGAGTAATTCTGGTTGTCACCACATAATTTGATAGCCTGTGTCTCTCAACAGCTGTAGGAAATTTCCCAGATCTCCAACCTTCTGCAATCCCAATTACTACTAAGTCCTTAGAATTGAAAGACTATCTTGACTTTTGGAACTGGCTGAGGCTTGAAGAAGGAAATACATCTGAAGCTTTTCTTCTGGGTCGTTTTTGTTTGTTGTTTTTTTTTTTTTAATATGTTCTTTTCCTGGTTCTGCTGCTGAAATGACCACCAGTGGCTAAATATCACTGTCACTGGCCAAGCACAGCACTTCCACTACCTAGAAGTTACTGTGACACTGGTCAGCTATCAGTGATCCTGCCTCCTTCCACAGAAACATTTCAGCTGAGTGCTAGTAACAGCTAAAAGACAACTAAATACAGCTAAATACTTCCTCACTGATTCACCCGTAAGAAAACCAGCAACCCTTCTAAAAGCAGCTGAGCCCAACTTATACCGATTCAGCAGACCCTCCTGTGATACATCACAAAGGCAGAGATGTTATCAGCTGATTTCAAATAGCAGAACCTGGGCTCACACCAAACTTCCTGTTCTGTCAAGGTCAAAGACACTGTATTTTTATAACTTATTTTATGACAACTTCTATTCCAGATAGTGAAGGCTAAAGTGATTTTATCAGTGGGTAAAGCCCTACCAAGGATAGGCACATAGTTCAACCCTTCCAAACTCAAGAATTCACACCCTGTAAGAGAGTAATTATCAGCACAGTTAACACACAATAAGAAATGAGGCAACTGCAAACCATCCTCATAACCATTTCCTGCAGACTTGAGGTTGCCTCCTGTGGTAGAGACAACACAAGCCAGAACAAGGCACTTTTGGCTGCCCTACTTGTCAGCTTTCGAATTTGAAAATCCTTTGATGTTACACACGAGCCCTCTTCCCATCAAAGGCACAATACTCTAACTACACCACTTTTCTTTAAGAGCTCTGATGTACTTCCTTTGAAGAGTAACTCTTATTTAATGCTTCTCTTCAAGTGCATTCAGAAATGTCTGAGTCAGAATACCTGACTTTTAAACTCATGTGCATGTTTGAGACAGGCAGGCTTCCTGCAAAGGCAAAGGTTAGAAACCTCACACTGTCCTAGAGTACCAAAATTCATCATCACTGAAGTACACCACTATGACAGAAGCCCTGAACACTTCTTAGAATTATTCTGTCTCCTCATTAAAATACATTTAAATTTCAGTGAATATATTTCTTGTATAAGTAAGTGTGTAGCCAACAAAGAATAAGATGCTTAATAGAATGAACTTCCACACCAGTCATGAAAATTAGCCTATCAGCAGAATCAGTGAGTAAACTGCATGCCAATAAATAACACAGAACATTATTACAAGAGTTTGCCTTCCATTTATCTAAAAGATTTCTGAATTGAAGCCTGAAATAAGCCTGAATTATTGATCTGCTGTGAGAAAATGAAATATTAGAGATACTCACTTTTACCAAAATTATTTTTGCTAACTCTTCGCATACAAGCTTTTCTTCATCCTTCTTCAAGCCTTCTAATTCAAACAAGGTATTGTAATTTTCCAGCATTTTTGTCATAATCTTGTTGCAGATCTCCTGTTCCTTTATCCCTTCAAATCCAGAGGGCACACTAGAATTGGAGAGATGACAAGGCAGAGTGTTACAGGGACTCAACAAACAAAATGTCCTGCAGAGGGTCTCTGTAACATTCCATTTGTGGATACAGGCTGGGTGGTAGGTGCAGGAAACTTTGAATTGGAAAGGAGGCCTGTGCCTATGTTGGTAACAACTCTTACAGTTTGTTTGCAGTTTTTCTTATCGATATTAAATGCAAGAGCTGTTGACTGATCCACCCTCTCCAGGGAATCAAGGTAGGGATAGAATTGAGACAACCACCAAATGAGGTGCCACCAACTCTGCTGTAAGCTGGATTTCACAACCCGCAGTGCAAACAGCTCAGGCATTTAGATGTTCTGAACTGTTAATTCAAGCGTCAGATTCCTCCAAAACCTGGGTTTGTGATAACCTCAAAGGTACACAAGGATAAGTGAAAAAATTAAGAAATCCCAAATGATAAGCAAAGCACTGAGTATTAAACAAGGTCTTTGCCTTCAGATGACCCAATGCTGTACACCAGATTTTTTAACCTAACTTCTAAGTTATCATTTCTTTTGAAAGTAGGGTCATAACTCAAAGGGCTTTCTAAAACATGGAGATGGATGCTGCCTGTTGCTGAAGAGCCTAAAAGATTAATACAAAAAGTGGTTCCTAAGCTCCATTTTCTGGGAGAATAACCAACTACTTGGCTGCTGAAGAAGTGGCTTCTTTCTCTCTTGAAACAGGCCCCTTTGCAGTTTATCACAGACCTTAAAGGCACACAGAAACGGAAGATACTGTATGTATCTGCATGTTTCCTTATGTATTTCACACAACTCTCTCAAGCAGCAAAAAATGCATGTCACTTGCAACAGAGCTCGTAATTCATTGAAGCTTCTAGTGATCATCTGCGGGTATATAAACTTTCTGCACACTTTATTGGACAGTTTTATTGGCCCCAAACTAATCTAAATTCCATTTTAATGCAAAAATACAATATCTGAAGAATCTTCTGCAATCATTCAGTGCTACCTATTGTATAGTATTTCCAGCAGTTGAAGTCTTCTCAGTAAGATACAAAGTGGCTTCATGCATGTGAATTTCCTAAATACCTTAAAAAGTTGCAGAGACTGATGATCAGGAGTAATGAAATACAGAAAACATTTAGAGTGAAGAAACAGAGAAGCCAAAACAAACAAAAAAAGTTTCAAGTACCTTTTGGCTGAAGACAAGAAGACCTTATGTGAGAAGAAAACACAACCCAAACCCCCAAAAGCAAAATAAATTCCCCCTGAGCTATCTTACTTGAAAGAAAACCATTGCTTACTGCAAGGAGTAAATAAAAATTAACAAATAACTACCTACTCTAAGGCTGTAACTGCAGTTTATTGGGGACAGATGTGCATTTCAACAAGAAGGCTCTTGATGCTCCCAGAAACTTGTCATCAAAAAGTGCCTTTCTGTAGGGGTGTCTTGGTTCGACAAGACAGGAGTCTGTGAAAGAGGGCAAAGCCTCCTGTGCAAAATGGAGAAGGTAAACCCCCTCCCTCCGAATTACTAGGAGTTTTAAATCAAAAGGCTCTCAGGCAAAGATATGGGAATGGGAGTAACAATTCTTTACTAGGAGAAAAACTAGACAACAATTTAAAAAGGCAAATGCAATCGGTACAAACAAAACCAGTGAAAAAAGTCCACAACCTGAGGATTCAGGATGCCAGTGGCAGTTCTGCTGCGACGATTGCTCCCCTTGCAGTGGCTGATGAATTGCAGCTGCAGTGGTGATCTTTAGAAGGGTATAGTTTTCCTCTGAAGATCTGGTGGCAGTGGGGCCGGTCTTCCTCTGCACTGGGGTTGCCTCCAAGCTCCGCCGCCGTTGCCTCACTACGCTCCGGCTGCTTTGCTGCTGAGGGCCGCTGAAGAGAGCTGCTTCTCTGGCAATCCCCCAAAGTAAAGAGCTGCTCTGTCCCCAAAAAGGTACCCCCTTATATCCAATAAAAGAGTGCTTGGCTTCCCCCTCTGGGTGGAACATCTCAGGATGGTGTTACGTTACCAGCCCTGCATTGAATCAGTCAATGGCCCACTAACAACCCATTACCTCTTAGGAGCAAAACGGGTTCTTAGAAAAGATAACAAAACCTGTCCAACAGGTTTGCCTTCAACAGATGGCAAATAGAATACAAGCTTATCTTACAACCCAGGACAAGGGGCTATTCATCCTTCTCAATGCTTTATTCATACATCTTCATGTCAACAGGGAGAGTAACCCACTGCAGCAGAACACATCTTTCTAAACTCCGAAAGTCTTTATTGCTATCATTTCAACATTTAATACATGCTAGAGTAGCAGGACCTGAATTTTAAAGGATTTAATTATTTTACACTGTAGAATATTGGCAACTGTAAAAATGTGTCAGTCTCATCTGATTGATTTCTTTAGTGTGGAAGTTGACCTCAGACTAAATGAAGAACAAATGGGCCAACTTCTATTGATGGATGTGCATGCAAGCTCAGGCCAATTCACTCTGAAGAATGCCACATATTCACTAAAACTTAGTAAGTGGCCTGAAGAAAGTGTATGTATGCAGCAGGCCCATGCAATTATCCTGATTGAAGGAAACCCCTCTTGCTATGCTAAATGATGTGCTCCAGTGTTGGCATGCTGCAAAGCCTGCCTGCTTGCTAGCTGAGGCAAATCCTATTACCTTCCTGATTCGTTTCTCCAAAACAGAGTACAACTTAAGTAATGGCAACCCTATGAATCTCATTCCCAGGAAAAGGACTTAAAAAGTAATAGAGCACGTGCAAGCCAAAGTAAAGACTCCAGATAGCAGAATTCTCACCTCAGCCACATCTGCTGGGAAGTACAGCCAACAGTTGCCTACTGGCAACAGCTAATACAAAAAAAACTCTATCTGTTTGAAAAACAGTCCAGTCTATAAAGTTTCCATAAAGCAAAAAAACTTAATTTCTGCCCAATCCCATTACTTTCTTGCCCTCCCTTCCCCACGCTACCTTGTCAGTAAAAATTTTTTAAATCAAACCTGTGAAAAACCCAACATCCTATTCTGAACAATTCTGTATGATTAGGGTGAGATATATATGCAAAACACAAGGCTAAAGCTCATGGCTTCTGTCTTTTTTAACACCTCTCTCTGAGTATAACTAAGCAAAGGACCATGAAGTGATTTATTTTAATGGAAATGTAACATATTTTATTCATGTTATAAATTGTGACACGACAATTTGAAGTGTCTTAATCCAATAAAGCAATTTTATTGAAAATAGCAAGCGAGTAAGGCAGGCAAAGCACAGCGCTGGGCGGCCGGGGAGTCTCCTGCTCCACCAACGGCGCGCAAAAATGTTCTGTCCCAACCTTCCTTTTATCCCCCCCCTTCTCCCTGCAGGCGTGACTCTCCAGATGTAGTCTGAGTCTGGTCGTTGTGATAGCTTCCAAGTCTCTTCTTTTGAGATACAGGGAGCAGACCAGATACACACACCCAGGGCTCTAATCTCAACCTCCTTATCACCTTGTAAGCAAATAAGCATTTCAAAGACACACTAGTACATTCTTATGCAAACCAAGGTAAGCGAGTATATCACAGTGAACAAATTATTTTCCACTTATCTTATTCATTGCCACCTCTCTGCCACTTAAACAGGAGTATTTAACAAAGTTTCTAATATATTTCTCCTATAATTGCTATTATTAGACCTCAATCACGATAAGGACTATTACACTCTATGAGCTCTCCATGGTGACATTTTCCTTTCAACAAATATATGCTGAGCTGAAGATAAATTTATATTATGAGCACACACCACCCTGCCTATTTATACAAAGTAAACTCCATCTGCTGCCACACTGCATGATCTACCAGTTTGACTAGACTTTTCTGAAAATCTGTGTAAAAAAAAGAAAAAGCATTTTACCGCTATTCATTTTACAGCTCTTCTCATTCTGAAAAGTCATGACATCTACAAATGTCACTTCAACTGACTAAAAAAAGCCAGATCTGTGAGAAAATATTCTCTCACACTTCCACTTTCCTGATGTACACCCTAATCCTTGGAAAATTTTCATGATCATTTGTGAAGATCTTGTTAAAACATAACAGTATAAAACTGTTCATAGTCATCGTTCCTTATGTCTATTTTCATGTTAATTAGGCACTACTACTGTGATGCTTTGAGAGTTAGACACACAATTTACTCCAGTTATAAAATCCTCAGCAGAAGGACTTCATCCCCTTACAGTCACATATGTACAAATTACTTCAGTTGCAGTACCAGAAGCATCAGTTTCACTACCACAAACACCAGAAGGGTGCCATAAATCTGCAATTTCTATGGTTATTTCTAGAAGAAAAAGGGTTGATAAATTCAGATCTCTCTTAGCGATTTGAATGGAAAACTCCCACTGAGGTTATCACAGTGGCTTGCAAAACCATCAACAGACACACAGCATAGGCAGAGCAGGAGCAAATTCCCTAGTGTCCCCTCCCTTAGATTCCCCAGACACCTGCCCTTCCCAGAGAGATGCTCTGAGTGATCTGTGTGCAAAGCACAGCATGTCCACTTTAGGTATTTGAAAAAAATGTGCCTTGTCTAAATGAAGCACCAGCATTAACAGTATCTGACACAGTTAAAAAGGTCAAGACCAAAGGTACATCAGTACCACAAGTTTTGCAGGATATTAAAAACTGAAATTATTGGTGATGTCATTTTAAAGCATAAAAAGCAGTAGTTCTCAAAACATTACTTGGTAATCAGATCAGACTGTCAGCTCTTAATTTCAAAATCTGATACCCAGAAGCATTTCACACTTCTGCACAATGTCCTACCAGCATGGCTGGCCCACCCAGTGCAGCTCCATGCAGCTCCTGTCCATGCAGACACCACACCCACATGCTCTTTGTGTTTTCCAGACTGAGTCCATGTCTCTTTCCACAGGGATGCTCAGGAAAACTTGTCTCAAAGGGTTAAACTATAGCAAGGCTCTGTGTCACAGCTTTTACTCAGAAGTCAAGTGACCTG